GTGAGCCATTTTATTTTGTTTTAGCTTAGTGCTGCCAGTCTCCCTAAGTAAAGGCAAGAGTTATTTTATCAACTAGATTTTAGAGTTGTTTTCCTCAAATTTGGAGGGTCAGTGTGGACTCAATGGACCAAATTTCCCATTTCCACATTATAGGGATTCTATGAGTGTTGATCGCAATTGCTTGTCTTACTGGATTTATATTTTGAAAATGGCATTGTATGCTGCAGTGGCTCAAGCCAGACCTAATTTCCATTGCTTTTCCTAAGATTGTCTTTTTATTAACTGCTTATTTTACTGGCAGAGATACGATGGGCTGAATATACTCTACTGTCCCATAACCTTTGTATAATTCTGTGGTTATTTACAGTAAGAAAGTTGATCAGCATGGGAATTTGTCTGGATAATCTAGTGCCAATTCTAGTCTTGTATAAGGAGAATAAAATGGATAAATACAAGTCACTGCTAGAAATACTGCAACAGCTATTGTTTGGCCAGACATTTGGCCAGACTAAATGTGGAATTTGGCATCTTGACAAATATTTTCAACTTATTAATCACAATTCAGTGGCCCAAACAATAACATGCTGTCCATTATCATTGACTGTACTTGATCACTAATACATTTGGTGTTACCTAAATTAAACGTTTAAGTCTCTTTAAAAGTAAACATCCTTGTTTAAACTGAGTACAATCATATCATTTTCTTCCAAGAGATTTGTACATTTGGTGCAACAATTTGTGCAGTTGTGCTTCCTCTTGAACCCTGTCTGCTCCTTTGGGAGCTGAGCTGGTGGAAGGAATAAATAGAGAGGAAAAATACTGATCTTTAATGCAAGGGACTCTTGGATTGATGTATCATTCAGTGCTGTACCAACAGATGGCCAAGAACTTCTGTCAGTACAGTAATGTGACAGTTTGCTTATACTGCTTCTAAAAGTCACTTTTGAGAGCCTTTTTTTTGGTACATTCTTGTCTCCTCTTGCTAGGAAAGGTTCATTAGGGAGGGTGCCTTGGATTTCACTTTGGCGCTAATATGGATCTCGTGGAATGAGAGTGAGTCTTGATGTATCTTGGGTATGGCTATATGGTCATCTGCCCCACATACACTTTCTGTCATATATCCAGACGTTGAAGCGGGCTAATTAGCAGCTCACATATGTGACAATCTGGCTGGACCACACCATTGCCATTGACTCCTTTTACCAACTTGATGACATTAGACACTCTTCATGGGAAAGCAGAACTTGATGGTCACATTGAGCTCAGTGAGATCGCGTATGATGACCGTGTATGATCTTGTCTGATGTAAATGACAACTGGAACTTCCACATGTTCAAGGAAGATGGCAGAATTCCAAAGCCTTCCTCAATGACCTAAACATGCTGTTGATGGATTTATCCAGTTGAGCTGTCATCTTCAGCTTATTATTTGACATAGCCCCGGTGCCTGCATTAATCCCTCAAGATCCAGAAACAGCACTTTTTAAAGCTAAACTTATAGGGTCGTTTTACAAATAGTTCAATCAGGGGTTGTCACATCCCAGAAATCCAGCTAACACCATTCTTCTTCATGCAATCAACAGATCTTCCTGCTCACTTATGCTTTTCCTTTCATTTGGTATACTCCACTCTGGTTCACTGCCTAAGGGCAAATATCCCTGTGCCCAGGAGAGATTGAGTGACTTCTGTCTGCTCTGAAATGTTGACAAGGCTGTATTCCTTCTTAGTAACATGTAGTGGAGGTAAAAAGAACAAAAAAGGTTATTGTTGCTCTTTTGGTCAGCAGAGTTGCAGTAAAAGAAGAAATATAGGAGTTTCGTTGTTTGCTTTGCTGATAGTTATTACAAACCACAGAAGGAAAAGATTAAAGAGAAGCAGATAATCAACATGAACTTGCAACTAATATGTACCAACTTACTTCCCCAACTCTACATTTTCATCTAGTCTTGATCCATCAAATTTCTCCACCTTTTCCTCATTCATGAGAGATAATGGGAGATATATTTCACGTGTAGCATAGTAGAAAAGTATCAGATATGCGCATACAGCTCTTATTGGGTATAATGATGTATGTGCAACAATTACAATCTGTGAGACTTTTATTAATGTTACCTATGAATGAAAATGTAAGCTGTGAGGAAGGTGCAAGAAGTATTCAAGAGAATAGTTATGGATAAATAACCTTTAACGTTCAGTGATTCAGTGACACAATGTCCATATCAAACAAATGGAGAAATGGTGAAGTACACTTCATCATGAATCAATATGTTCACAACAGGAAGCATGACAGAAAAGACAGAAAATCATATTGCATTTAAGTGACCATAGCGTTTGGTTAGCATTCCAATAGATCTTTTAAATTCAATGACTAAAAGACCACACCATGTCATAAGAATAACATTTCCTACAGTTCTGTTGGGTGTAAGCTGGTAAATATATTTTGCATACGAGTCTTGTGTCTTGCAAAAACTGGCTTTCAATCATTAATCATCAGGATTGAAATGTCAGGGCGGGGCACAAAATGGAGCCTAGAATTCATTGTTTCACTTTTGTCCTTATATGTAAAACAATTTTAGAATTGGTCAGATGAGCATTTTGGGTGTGGCCAAGTGAACTGCCAAGTGTTTTCAGGTCTTATACTGTGTACATTCTCATGAACATTCTTAATGCATACGGAGACTACACTAAACAGATTTACCATGCACTTCAAGTAAATAGATAACAACTAAGATAAGCTTAAGTGATTGTTTATTTTTAATATTTTCTGAAAGTAGCAAAACTAATTTTTAAATATTGTTGTAAAATAGTTTCAAAGTCTCTAAAGTGTTGGTCTGAATTTGAGGCCTCAGAATGTGAATCAAAAGGAAAATATTAAAAATGAGTTTTGAGATAGTTGATATATTTTATGTTTGGAATGGAGACACCCTGAAAATATGCTATGACTAACTGGAAGAACTTAGGAGACAGCTTCTGTTATGGTCTATTTGGTGTTTTAGTAACAAAGGCGGCATTTACTGTAATTTCTGTGGGTCTGTTGAAACAGGATTATTATTGGCATAACAAATATGTGCCAACTATCTTTTTGATTTCACATCAAACACAAAGCTCAAAAACCATTATGGTCTGATCCGTTGCAAATCAGCTGCAAGCAATATAACAAAAAGAAGCAGATGAGAGCACTGAGAGGCTGGGTACTTACGGGAAAAACAGCGTTAAACTCTTGCAATGGAATCAGATTGACCAAACAGTTATGGCAGTTCCCTTAGTATAGCAGTGGCTCTTGTTTCACAGAAAGAATTTTATCAGTAGTCGGGAACAATGGTTAACACTGACCATTATTAATATCTTCATTAATGGGTGCAAATTTTGACATTTGGATACAGTGGACAACTTCCAAGTAGAAGCTCATGCAGTGACTCATAAAGTTTTTTCCTAAACTATGCACTAAACTGCAGGAAAAGTTCTGGCATCCTGTGCACATTATGATTTTATGGTTTCATGCTTCCAGAACTGCACAAAAGTGCTTTGTGCTCCGTTTGCACTGTTGGCTGATATTCCAGAGCTTAATGAAAGGCAGCAGGATAAAATCACACAATTTGTGGCCACAGTCTGGATTGGTTTGATTTTCCATTGCAAAAAATGCACAGCAAAAGGATTCTTTTTCTTTCATTTCTAAATGTGTGCACAATGATATAAAACAGCCAACATATATTCAGAGTTTCATGTGACTAGTAACTGTACAACAGTTAACATGTTGCTGGATTTGGACATATAAAAGTAAAATGTGTGAGTTCTGAGTTGTGTTGAACATGGTCTGTTGAAGCAGAAAGTCTTTCTTCAGTACAGCAATGAAAGCAATCCAAATGATCAAATAAAGCTATCTGTAAAAGCTGAATATAATGAGACAGTAAATCATGATTTAACTTTTAAAGTCAAACATAAATTGAAGAGAAAATTGCTTACAGGTTCTATTATGAAATACTAATCGTTACAAATGAGGCAGTGATCAAATATCCTCATTGGTGCACACTCAAAGCCATTTTAAAAATGCAGGAATCTGTTCATGTTAGGCTGGCATCAACAGATTTAAGTAAGAATTTCTACTTGTTCTTAAGAGATATGGAATCTCTTACAGTGTCTGATGCCACTGTACCTAGTGGGGTAAGAAAAGGTGGGACCAAGTTGGTGACCTCAACTGTTAGAACTCCCACTCTTCTTGCCTCGCCAATATTAGAGTTAGGATTGCAAATAGTCATATACCTGGTGAAATAATGTGAACAATTTTGATATGGAGCAGCATCAATGCATGGGTGACAATTAAGTGGGGAGGGCTTCCCAGCATGTTGCTTTTGTGAGATTGACAAGTTTAACTTTATGCCTTGTTAAGAATTAAAAGCAGTCTTGAATGGAACATCTATTAAATAGGCATCAGTATAAATATACATAATTTTTTTTGACTTGTGCGAAAATCAAGTTCTGGGTTCCTGACAGGAAAACCATTCTCAAAGTTAAGTGAGGTGTAGTTTGCAAGCTGAAGTGCTACAAGATTGTGAATCCTATGCTACAGGACTGAAAAGATGCCATCATCTCAATTTACATTACACAATTTCTCACAGTAGTTGTGATGCAGTAGATTTAAAGAATATGACTATCAATCCTGTTTTCCCAGCATTGACTGAATCAAAACAGTCCACTGTGGGGTTCGATCAAATGATATTTCCAAACTATGGTCAACATTTTCCATCTCATTCGAATTGGTAACATTCTGAATATATTATCACTTGAGCATCATGACAGTAAGATAATTTGAAAGGGCTGTCCATAGTTTCAAGGATTAAATAGCTATAGGTTACTGCGCATAAAGAGGCCATTCAGCCCATTGTGTCTGTGGGGGATTATTAATTATGTTTCTCTATCCCATAGTTGATGGTTAGATTAAACTACACAACAGTGCAGTAATATACAAACTTATGTTACAGTAATCATTTTTCTTTCACATAGTATGTCGAGAAGAATTCTTCGAATTAATTGGTACATTAACCTCTCCAAACTATCCAAATGGCTACTCTCGTAATCAAGAGTGCATCTACACAATCAATGTGGAAAACAACAAGCAAATTCTGCTCAACTTTACTCACTTTCAGTTAGATGGATATCAAACCTGTACTTCTGGCTATGTTGAAATTAGGTAGGTGTCTTTATTGCCTTGATTAAGCAATTAGATATTCCAATTCCATACACTCTTCAAAGGGTCAGCTGGATGTTAATTTAGTAATGATTAGGAAATGATGTGTGATGTAGAGTTCAGTTTCTTTGGATCAATAAATGTATTCAACATGAAAATAAGTGATGCAAACTTTATGCTATACTTTCTACATAGATCGCAAGGGCAAGAATTTCTGTTTCAAATGAAACTATTAAGGTTGGAATTTGGCTAACAAGGCACATAGTTCCAGACCCAGCTCAATAATAAGTGCCCATGTGATTTTCACATCACAGAAATATGTGTGATGAAGTTAAATTTACTGACTGCAGCGCTTAGAAGAGACCAGGAGGAGTGATGGTTAGTGTCTGGGGATGGGGGAATGGTTTTGAATGCCATGGGCTGGTTATAAGGCCTGTTTTGGTTTCTGGACCTTTACCCTCATACCTTCATCTACTTCCCCGAGGTCCATTATACATTGCATGCCAATCCAATGCCAATTCATGCCCCCAATAAACCCCCATGACTTCTACTTCCTCCTCGTGGCACACAATTCCTCCTAGTTTCATGTTAGCAAAATTGAAAATATTACATTTGATTCTGTCATCCAAATCATTGATATATGTTTGAATAGCTGGGGTCCAAGTACAAATCCCTGATGTGCCCCATTATTCACTGCTTTCCACTCCAGAAAAGATCATCTCTTGACACTGTTTGTTAATCAATTCTCAATCCATGCCAGCACATTTCCTCCAATCCCGCATGATTTTATCTTGCACACTAACCTCTTTTGTGGAACTTTAATCAAAAGCTTTCTGAAGATCCAAATGCAGCTCATCGACTGTTTCTCCCTTATCTATTCTAAAATTTACTCCAGTAGATTTGTCAAACACAATTTCCCTCTCATATTGACTTTGACCAATCCCATTGATATTTTTGAAGTTGATGTTAACACATCCTTCATAATAGGCTCTAGCATTTTAGTAATATCTTATCTTAAGTTCTTTTGAATCTGCTTCCATTATCTTTACATGCAATCATAATGACCTTCCTCACTTATTATGCAATTAAAAGATCACCAGGATCATTTATGCAATGAAATCCTGATTTCCATAACTTTATGACACCCTTGTCTGCTTTACAACAGCCCTTTATCCATGCAAGAGAATCGAGTCATAAGTGTTGCCTAGAATCTACAGCATTGAAACTATCTTTCTCATACAAACCTTCTTCAATCATATTTCGGTCATTATTAAATGGCTCGGTCACCTGATTTCTGCCATGGGTATTCATCTTGTCGTATCATCAATGAATTTTTGAAGAGGTAGGACAAGTAGAATTATGCAAGAGAATAATTCCTGAAACAGCAATTGCACCTTGGAATGCATTTTATTGCAAAGCCTGCCCTGATTTGAGATTTTGAGTCTCTACCATGTGCTGGCACCTCAATTCCTGTGTCCTTTATTAAAAAGTGTATAATCTGTCTGCATTTCAAGAAGCTGCTATAATAAATAAAATTATAAAACTATGAGCATGATTGCAAGAGTTACTGAGTACCAAATTGTAAAAAAAGTGAAAGAAAGTTTTTGTTCAAAGGGAAAATTGCTGATATTTGACTTGGAGAGATAGATTTTCTTAGGGGAAGATTCATCACTAAAAGGGGTTTTGATTGGATTTCCACATGGGTTCTGTATTTCGTTATTATTCAAAGTCAAAGTCTGATAAAGGTGTTTGAAACTCATATCCTGTCTCCATCTCAATATTATTATTCATGTGACAGCCCCATTGCACTGATGTCACGCACCCTGTAGGTGAAGACAAGGTATTCCACTCTAGCTTTTGGATGGAACAGATGGATCTGTACCAACTCCCTAAGGTCCAATTATGCCTATCCAAACTTACTTGTACTTATTACTATCATGCTACTGTTATCTAAGAACAATACTTCTTTATCTACTCTTAAGACGGTCTATCCACTATCACTAACAACTAGATGGGCCTAAGACTAGCAAAGACAAAGGTGGGAGCAAACTACCTCCAACAAGTTCACCTGGGAAAACATCCCTGTTTTGATAGTCCCTGTCACAACCATAACTGATGTGGAATATAAGGAAAACTGCTGACTTCTCTTTAACTAACTTCCTACAGCTTTTTATAAACCTTGGAGTGGGGGGATGATGGGAAGTGGTTTCACTCCAATGTTCTGGGCAGTGATCAGATTGTAAACTTTCATGTATATTAACTCTTTAATTTCTCACAATTATACTCAACCTTTTGAGTATGTTAGCAGCAGGAAATGTAATTACACATTTCTTTAATATCTAGACCTGATTCTACAGATTTCTTTTGTGGCAGGATGGCTATCGTTTTCCATGTAAACATGAGTGCTTCCATCCACAAAATGATCTCTCAGTGTAATTATCACTCAGTACAAATATTACCCCAAATCTCCAAAAGCTGACATGATATGCTTAAAAGCTACAGTACCGAATATGTTTGCATTTCACGTGTTTGTGTGGGATCTTTGAAATGAAACTTAATTGTTGAAACTGTAAAGTATTCATTTTTATTTACTTGCTTACATTGCAGATAATGTTGCATTGAGAATAGAAGATACTACTGAATTTTGTTAGCATTTGTTAGCAAAACATTAAGCACTCCATACAAAAACGCATTCATTCTTGTAGATGCCCAAATGTGTAACATTTGAGATCAAAGGGTTCTTAACCTGAAATAACCACTTGTTTATTTCAGAAATGGTGGATATGAAACCTCCCCCTTTGTCGGACAGTATTGTGGATCAAAAGCCCCACCACTTATCACATCCCACAGCAATCAGCTATGGATTAAATTTAAATCAGATAACACTCTTCAATATCGTGTATTTAAGGCTCATTGGGATGGCACTACCACAGGTAATAGCATCACGTGAAAAGAAGCATATCAAACATTAATTTCAGATTGATAGAATTGCTTTAGTTTGGGCAAAGGGGTATGCCTTATTTATATGCAATTTGAATGACAAAGCACAAAAGAATCAAACATTTTCACAAACCTCTTGTGTAGGATGTTTCAGCATTTTGAACCAATGAAGATACATAAAGGTTTGGATGAGGTATGAACTGTCACTAATCAGCCCAGGTCCAGGTCTTGTCAAAAGCAAGTATGAATTGCTTCCTTATCTGATAATTTGTGAATTAAGATGAAGGTTATGTAATTAGTGAATAGCCCCACTACTACATTACGGATGGAGATAAAGTAGTTGAAGATGGTTGAAGATGTTGCTACCCCCAAGTTTGTAGACACCTTGCACTTTTAGATGATGGTGAGCACGAATTTGAGAAGTGCAGTTGAGAAGCCATTATAGCTTGCTGCAACGCATTCTGTGGAAAGCACACATTACAAATACAGTATGATGATGGTGTAGGACGTGAATGTTGTACTCTTTGCTAAGTGCTGATCAAGTGGACTAGTGCTGACATGTATGGATGTGCTATTTGTACCCATATTTCTGAAATGGCTCACAATTATTGATGTATTTAAGATTTGTATACATGCAAGGCATAAATGAGAAATCTGATTTTAAATTCGTCTACTCAACCTCGTCAGAATACTCAGTTGTTGCACTACCCAGGGCAAAATCAAAGAATTATTACAGTCCAGAAGGAGACCATTCAATCCACCATATATGTGCTAACTCACCACACAAGTTACTTGGCTTATCTTTGGATTTTTTTAAACAAAGTTGTAATATTTACAATTTTTCAGTCCTGTGGCACCATCCTGGAGTCTAAGGAAGGCTGAAAAATTTATTGCCAGTGCCTCTGCAATTTCCATTCTCACTTCCTTCTATTTCCTTAGATGCGCCTCATCCAGTCCCAGTACTTTGTCAACAAGTACAGACACTTTAATCATCACCACAATAGGGAAATAAAGTACAAGACCAAGGAGGTTATGTTAGAATTAGGTTCCATTATAACTACTCCATAATTTTTGCATATCTGTAATTTCTTTGTTTTGTTTGTTCCTCAACATCCTTCTCACTAGTTGGTGGCCTATAAACAGCATTGAGCAATGCAATCACATCTTTTTTATTTCTTAGCAATTGTGAATTGGGAAGACCTTGGAGTGAAGGGATGACCCTACAGAACAGAAATGAGGAGGAATTTCTTCAGGTGGCGAATCTGTGGAACTCATTACTGCAGAAGGCTGCAGAGGCCAAGTCACTGAGTGCCTTTAAGACAGGGATAGATAGGTTCTTGATTAGCAGGGGGATCAATGGTGACAGGGAGAAAACAGGAGAATGGGGTCGAGAAACATATCAGCCACGATTGAATGGCAGAGCAGACTCAATGGGCTGAATGGCCTAATTCTGCTCCTATAGCTTAAGGTCTTTCTAAGACATTCACTTTCTCCAGCACTGCAAAGCACTCATTAATCACTAACATAAATGGAGTAGGATTTATATATTTTTTTTCTTCAGGTTGTGGTGGGACTCTTACAACGTCAACAGGGAGTTTTACCTCACCCAACTATCCAATGCCATATTCACACAATGCAGAATGCTACTGGCTGATTCAAACGAGTGCAGGTAGTGTGATTGAACTGCAATTTGAACAATTTCATTTGAACTCCAGCGCTGGATGCAATTATGATTACCTAGCTGTACGTATAATCTTGTTGACATTTTTCTTGAAAAACTATGATATATTTAAATTACTATTTCAAGGAATTTTAATATCCAATTTAGGATAGATAGACATCGTGTGAGGCATTGAAAGTTGTCATAGATAAATCCAATTCTGAACTTTAAATGAGGGGGAAGGAGGTTTTTATTAAATAATTTTGTTTTTATTATTATTAAGCAGTATTTTTAAAAGGTATTTGTAAACTATTAAAGACTCTAAACATTTTGAGAGTCAAATTGTATTTTTACAATTACTTAAAATTGTATAATCTGTGTATCTTGCAGCTCAACATTCTATTCATATTACTAATTGTGAATGTTCTGTAATGTTATAGAATTTCCCAGAGTTAATATGGGAAGGAATCAGTTTCCATTGCACAACAGAAATAAATGATGTTTTCTCCCAGTGGATACATTTTTATATAAGTGAATACAAATACATTTCCTGATTATGGTTGTAATGGTTTCAAGGAGGTTTTAGGCAGACCTAATTTTCAGAGATCATCCTATTATCCCAATTATGTGTAGCTACAGGTGCAAATTTGGACTTATGCAAAAGCAGGCTGATGCTGCAATGCCAAAATTGCACATAAATAACATGCAAATTCACGGTGGCAAGAGATTATTGGAGAAAGGTGAGAAAACTTGTGATGGTCTTTACAATGACTCAGAAGATATCTCAACACACTAATAGTCTTTCCCAAGTGAGGGGATTAATCACTGACCGGCAAAATTGATGGCAAAAATACAAGTAAAACGTCTTAGGCAAGTGACAGAACCGTTCAACATCCGGTCGCTGTTTGATGGCAACTGCATTGGGTACTTGGAAAGATGGATATCATGCATTCTAGTAATGGCGCAATTCTAATAAGTCTACAAGAAGATGGAATCCAGTTTAGTCACAGTAAATGGTTACCAGGAGGGCAAAAGAAATGCTTCAAGGATGTTCTTCTTAAAGTCTCTCCAAGAAAATATAATATACTCACTGACATGTGGAAATTTCTAACTCAGAGCTGTACAAAACAGAGAGGAAGTATTTGCAAAGGTGCCAACCATTATCAGCATCTTCCATAGGTTCACTTGGAGGTCAAGCACTAACAATGGAAGAAACATATGAAAACCCAAGTATCTCATCTACTCACGTCTTCAAACTCCATCTGCCCTACCTGCAGCAGGGTGTTCGGATCCAGCATCTGACCATTTAGTCACCTCAGGATCCACAGCACTACAATGGATCATCCTCAATCCAGAAGGCTGCCCAAGAGAAGAAAAAGATTATTGTCCCTATGCAGGAGTACAGTTTATAAGATAATAGGGATGGCCTCTCTAGAATTGTTAATATATTCCTGTGGGTACTCATACAGCCCCTGGATTTTTCATGCTGTGTATTTTCTTCATGCAATGCAGACATCCCTGTAAATCCACCACTTAATGTGAGTTAATAATCACTGGGGAAAAGTTGGATTGGAAATTCTTATAGGGCTTTTTATCATGGCCTAGATGACTTCTCGTGGACAATGTACCTAATTGTATCCCCTGGTTCTAAACTCCTCAACCAAGGGTAACACCTTACCTGCATCTATCCTGTCTATCTGTTTCAGTATTTTGTCTGTTCTGATGAGATGACCTCACATTCTTCAAATTTTGGAGAATATAGGCTCAGTTTGCCCAATCTCACTTTATAGTACAGTCTTGTCATCCTGAGGATAAGCCTGCTAAACCTTTTTTGCTTTCTGTCTATGGTAATAATATCCTTCTTAAGATAAAGGGACCAAAACCGAGTGTAGTACATCAGGTGTAATCCAACCAAGTTTCCATACAATTGAAACAAGATTTCACTACTCCAGTACTCGAATCCTCTTGGGATCAAGACTAACTCAACATTAGCCTTCCTACTTGCCTGCTGTATGTGAAATTAGCCATTGTGGATTACTCATGACAGCACCCAAGAACCTTTGTAAATCTACACTTTCCACCTCTTACTACTTAAGACACATTATGCATTTTGCTTTTTCTTCAGAAGTGGATTCACATTTTTCCACATTATATTCAATCTCTATGTTAATGTTCATGTAACGTTTATCCAGGTCCTCCTGAAACTTTGCATCTTCCTCAGAGTACACATTCCATTCTCGCTATATGTCATCTGGGAACTTGGAAATATCATGCTTGGTTCCCATGTCCAAATCCTTGACATGTATTGTGTACAGCTGGAACCCAAATCCTGATCCTTCTGGTACCCCACTTTTAAGTCCAGAAGAAAGAGGGACAAGAGTGGGCTGTTTGACTCTCAAACCTACCCTGACATTCAACAGGTCATTGCTGATCGGACATTCCTCACTTCCACTTTCCTGCCCTTTCACCATAACCCTTGATACCTCGCCTAATCAAGAATCTATCATTCTCAGCTTTAAACATACACAATGATTCTGCCCCCAGCTCTCTGTGGTAAGGAGTTCCAAAGACTGTCCACCCTCTGAGAGAAGAAATTACTCATCTACTGTGGGGCTGAAGATCTAGTGGCATTATCGCTAGATTTTTATTCTGTAGATGAAGGTAATGTTCTGGGGATTTGGGTCCGAATCCCACCATGGCACACGGTGGAATTTGAATTCAATAAAAATCTGAAGTTAAGAGTCTAATAATGACCATGAAACCATTGTCAATTGTCAGGAAAAACCAAAAGGATTCACTAATGTCCTTTGGGGAAGGAAACTGCTATCCTTACTGTTGTGTAGAGTAATTGGAAAGCAGGAAGTTAGAACTTGTTTGTAAAAACGATAGGGGGAAGAGTGCTTAGTCCCTTTAAGAGGTGATGTGCTTTTCTAAGCTCGGACATTTAGACAAAAATGTCTGCAAGTGGCTGCAGATGTATAGACCGTTCTGAAATTGAAACATATGCATCAATGGCTGTGTCGTCAGAAATCGAGGCTTGTTCTGATGTTAAGGCAACTAGCCTGAATATCAGCCAATTAATTTAAACCAGACACTTAGAGAGCGAAAGTCAATTGAATTTAAACCTGATTGTGTTGACAAGCTGGGACCAATCCTATTATAAGAAAGTTGACAGGTCATCAAGGGTAAATGAGACGAGGGTTTTTTAAAAAATCAGGGTGACAGCAATCTACCATCAGAAGAGTAAAGCTCTGGCTCTCACAGAAATTTTTAAGCTCTGATTAAGCAACATCTAAAAGGTATCATGGCAATCTTAGCTAATATTCCTAACATCAGAATTCGATGGACAGAGGTGTTTCAGACACCAGAATTCGACAGAGAAAGGCATTCCTGGCTGAGGATCAGCGGAGAGAGCACAGAGCATTCTGGAAGACACATCCTGACTGTAGTCTTGAGATTCTAAGTTTTAATTTTTTTTATTACTTTGGTTTATATAAGTGCGACTTGTATTTATTGGAATAAATAACATTAGAATTTTGTTTCATTAGGGAATAGTTAGTAGTTAAGGTGGAATTGTCCAGTTTGTTAATATTTCTTTTAATTTGGTCACCGTTAGAGTTAGATGAATAAATTGTTACTTGTTGATTACAGAGTGACTGTCAAGAGTTCATTTCATTTAAAATCCCCTTCGTAACAGATTATGAGGCAAGGCAAGCTTCTCTGGGTGTTTTGGTTTTAATTATCAGAGGACTTCAAACTCCTCTCCGTAACACTTACCTGGTTTGGTCTACATGTGACTTCAAACCCACAGCAATCTGATTGACTCTCAGATCTTCCCTAGATAATTAAGAAAGGGGAATAAATTCTGGCCTAGCCAGCAATGCCCACATCCTGTGAACGAATAATAAATAAAACTCAGTCTTAAATTGGCGCACCTTTATGCTGAGACTATGCTTCTGGTCCTGAAATCTCCCATGAGGGGAAACATCCTCTCAACATTTAATTCGTCAAGCCCTTTAAGAATCCTATATGTTTCAATGAGATCACTTGTCATTCTTCTAAATCCAATAAGGAAAGTCCCAACTGCCAACATGTGAACGTCTCATTATTCCTACTTCCTCTTTTCTGCCAGTACATTACCGCATACCCTATATGCTTTCATTTCATTCACCAACCTTTTGTGGGGATATTACCATTAGCCTTCTGAAAATCCAAATTTACTACCTCCATCAACTTCCCTTTACCAATTCTGCTAGTAACATCCTCAAAAAACTTCAACAGGTTGATCAATTACAATTTCTCATTCAGAAATCCCTGTTGACTGCACCCAATCAGATTATTATTTAAAAGAGTCCATTTATCATATTGTTTCTAGAGTTTTTTTTTATCATTTTCTCTATTGCTGATAAAGGTTAACTGGCCCATAACTCCCCGTTTTCTCTCTCTCTCTTTTTTCTTAAATACTGGGCTGACATTTACTGCACCTCAATCTGCAGGAACCATTTCAGAATCTACAGAACTTTGGAAGATGCTAATCAATGCATACACTATCTCCACAGATTCTTTTATCACTATTCTGGGCTGTAGAATATCAGGTCAATCTTCAGTTCCATAACCACCTTACAAAGACTAATTTCCTTCAATTCCTCATTCTCCCTAGTCTATTAGATCCCTGACTCTGGAGTTTGTTTTGTACTTTTCTCGAGGAAGACTGACATAGAATGTCATTTAGCTTTTCAGACATTTCTCTATGTACCATTACAAATTTGCTTGATGCCATGTAAACGGACCCCTGTTCATGTTAGCCGAAATGTTGATTTTCACATACCATAGAAGACTTGCAAGTCTATTTTTATATTTTTGCTACTTATATACATATTCTATTCTTCCTTTCTTTATCAGTTTCTTGGCCCTCCTTCCCCATGTCTGAAAATTCACCAAGTACTCATGTTGACTGCTATTTCTGGCAACGTTATAAGCCTTTACTTCTAATCTTTTGTATTATCCTGAACTTCCTTAGTTAGCTATGGCTAACAACCTTTTTGTGAGGTTTACCCACTTTGAAGGAATGTACAGTGACTGCAAACAATGTAAATGTTTTTCAAAGACGATCAATTGCCGATGTAGCATTTTATTTTTTCATGTATTTTCCCAACCCACTTCAGTCAATTTGCTCCTTGTACCTTGACAATGTCTTTTGATTAAATAGAACATGCTTGCTTCAGATTGAACTATTTCACTTTCAAACATAATGTCAAATTAGGTGATATTATGGTCGCCCATCCCTAAAGGTTAATTTACAACCAGGCTGGTAATAAAGGTAAGAGATAACAAGGTGTAGAGCTGGATGAACACAGCAGGCCAAGCAGATGCTGCTTGGCTTCTACACCTTGTTATCTCAGATTCTCCAGCATCTGCAGTTCCTACTATCTCTGGTAATAAAGGTAATGTGAGTAAAATACATAGATCATATATACCTCTGTTTCTCTTCTAGATTTATAATGGAAACAACAGTAATTCCCAGCTTCTGGCCAAATTATGTGGTCATCAGATGTCAGCACCTATTCGCTCTTCTGGAAATAATATGTACATAAAACTCCGAACTGATAGCTCAGTAACAGCAGGAGGATTTTTTGCTAAATATGCACACAGTAAGTAACCCAATCCACAGCAAAATTTTTTTGAACCAAAATGGCCATGTTTATTCATCATTATCTAAAATCAGCAGTTTTTTCCTGCAAATGTTTCAGCACAAGCTATTTTCAGTCACAAGCACTGTAAGTGGTAGCCAATTCATTCCTCTTTGACAACAGGGTGCAGAGCTGGATGAACACAGCAGGCCAAGCAGCATTATAGGAGCAGTAAGGCTGACGTTTTGGGCCCAGACCCTTCATCAGAAATGGGGGAAGGGAAGGGGGTTCTGAAATAAATAGGGAGAGAGGGGGAGGCGGATAGAAGATGAATAGAGGAGAAGATAGGTGGAGAGGAAATAGAAAGGTCAAAGAGGCGGGGATGGAGCCAGTAAAGGTGAGTGTAGATGGGGAGGTAGGGAGGGGATAGGTCAGTCCAGGGAGGACGGACAGGTCAAGGGGGCAGGATGAGGTTAGTAGGTAGGAGATGGGGGTGCGGCTTGAGGTGGGAAGAGGGGATAGGTGGGAGGAAGAACAGGTTAGGGAGGCGGGGATGAGCTGGGCTGGTTTTGGGATGCGGTAGGGGGAGGGGAGATTTTGAAGCTTGTGAAATCCACATTGATACCATTGGGCTGCAGGGTTCCCAAGCGGAATATGAGTTGCTGTTCCTGCAACCTTCAGGTGGCATCGTTGTGGCACTGCAGGAGGCCCAGGATGGACATGTCGTTTGAGGAATGGGAGGGGGAGTTGAAATGGTTCGCGACTGGGAGGTGCAGTTGTTTATTGCGAACTGAGCGTAGGTGTTCTGCAAAGCGGTCCCCAAGCCTCCGCTTGGTTTCCCCGATGTAGAGGAGGCCACAACGGGTACAGCAGATACAGTATACCACATTAGCAGATATGCAGGTGAACATCTGCTTGATGTGGAAAGTCTTCTTGGGGCCTGGGATGGGGGTGAGGGGGGAGGTGTGGGGGCAGGTGTAGCACTTCCTGCAGTTGCAGGGAGAGAGTGGTCCCTCCGGAAAGCAGATAAGGGTGGGGAGGGAAAAACGTCTTTGGTGGTGGGGTCGGATTGCAGATGGTGGAAGTGTCAGAGGATGATGCGTTGGATCCGGAGGTTGGTGGGGTGGTACATGAGGACGAGGGGGATTCTTCTTTGGTTCTTATTGCGGGGACGGGGTGTGAGGGATGAGTTGCGGGAAATGCGGGAGATACGGTCGAGGGCGTTCTCGACCACTGAGGGGGGGAAGTTGCGGTCCTTGAAAAACGAGGACATCTGAGATGGACGGGAGTGGAATGCCTCATCCTGGGAGCTGATGCGGCGGAGGCGAAGGAATTGGGAATAGGGAATGGCAATTTTGCAGGAAGGTGGGTGGGAGGAGGTGTATTCTAGGTAGCTGTGGGAGTCGGTGGGCTTGAAATGGATATCGGTTTCTGGGTGGTTGCCCGAGATGGAGTCAGAGAGGTCCAGGAAGGTGAGAGAGGTGTTAGAGATGGTCCAGATGAACTTAAGGTTAGGGTGGAAGGTGTTGGTGAAGTGGATGAACTGTTCGAGCTCCTCGTGGGAGCACGAGCTGGCGCTGATACAGTCATCAATGTACCACACTCCCCTCCAGCCCCACCACACCCTGTACTTTTCCCTGCAACCGCAGGAAGTGCTACACCTGCCCCCATACCTCCTCCCTCACCCCCATCCCAGGCCCCAAGAAGACTTTCCACATCAAGCAGATGTTCACCTGCACATCTGCCAATGTGGTATACTGCATCCGCTGTACCCGGTGTGGCTTCCTCTACATCGGGGAAACCAAGCGGAGGCTCGGGGACCGCTTTGCAGAACACCTACGCTCGGTTCGCAATAAACAACTGCACCTCCCAGTCGCGAACCATTTCCACTCCCCCTCCCATTCCTCAGACGACGTGTCCATCCTGGGCCTCCTGCAGTGCCACAACAATGCCACCCGAAGGTTGCAGGAACAGCAACTCATATTCCACTTGGGA